AGCCTATGAAGTGTTCAAAAGTTCAATAGACTTCGGGGAAATCTTATTTCTATTATTGTTATTTCCTAAGGAGTATAAACCGGAACCTTGACTAATTTGTAAATTTTCAAAGGTTTCCGAAATTTAAACAAATTAGCAGTTACGAATTGTTACACATCAATTACTGGCTACTGTTTTAGAAAATCCAGTTGTCCGACGAGGTTTGTCACGTTGTGTTATTTTGTTCTATTATCTCGTTGTTGACTGTCCTCTTCAACTAAAAGTCTCGAATTTGGGATTTTTTCAACAAATTATGGTCAGGAAATAAAATTGTTCTGATTGGTATCCAGAAGTTGGAGTCCTCAAATTCCCACACAATCCAAAATTAGACGCTGGCTGGACAACAACTCGGGAAAGTCGGTTGACATTCCAGGAACTCCCATCGCTAGACAAGAAAAGAAGACCACGACTGTCTCCGACTCAAAAGTTCCTGAAGGGTGGTACTCCGGAGAAGTTCGCAAGAGCGAGGCTTGGAGGGCGACAGCCGACTTGGGGGGGGGGCTCATTGCCGTAGCGCGGGGAGACTTTGCCGGTCCAGGTGACCGGTGGATTGTTCGTTTGTTGGTTTCAACCCAATGAATATTTTTTTGTTTGGGAAGTAGGTTCCCTAAAGAAAACACAGATTATCGACACTCTGACAAAATAATATGACGTTTATAGTTTTTTTTATAAGTTGAAAAAATCAACGAACGCGAATTTTAAAGAAAGCGGGTAACAAACATGAATTTACAGAAATAAAATATTTGACCACTCAAGAATGGGCGCGATACGGGGGGGGAAACACCATTTTGTGACAGTTAGTGTTGTGTGTTGTTGGTGTGTTGGTGTTTTGGTGTGTTTTGTGTGTGTTTGGTGTGGTTGTTGTGTTGGTTTTGGTGTGTGTGTTGGTGTTGGTTTTTGGTGGTTTGTTGTGGTGTGGTGTGTGGTGTGTGTTGTGGTGTTGTGTGTGTTTTGTGTTGTGGTGTGGGTGTGTGGTGGTGTGTGTGTGTGGTGTGTGGTGTGGGTGTTGTGTGTTGTGTGTTGTTGGTGTTGGTGTGTGTGTGTTGTGTTGGTGTGTGTTGTGTTGTTGTGTGGTGTTGTGTGTGGTGTGGTCTGTCTGTCTGCTTTTCGTCTGGTCTTTTTTGTCTTGTCTTTGTCTGTCTGTTTCGTTCTGCTTTTTTGGTCGCTGCGCTTGGTTCTGTCTTCGTCTTAGACAAATTTAACTAAATTTATTTTTTACTTCTTACTCGTCGGTAGAATCTAGTACTTTTGTTTTATACTTTTAGAACCGATCTCGTGTGCACTGGACAAACAAGGGCAGTGGACGCAAAGGACTTTTTCCAAACAAGAAGAAGATCTTCGTCTGGTGTGAAGAGGAGAACTGGAACATTAAGATTTAGGTTAACTTTGTGGTTTCGCGTGGTTTTCCCGATTGAGTTTGCTGCAAGACTCGAACTCGTTCCAGTCCTTTTCGGTAACAAGTGGGGAAATGGATTGGGATTTGGGACACAGACACTCCCCTCTGGAAGTAGTCTGTTTTCGGACTGCGTTCACCGTTTCCGTTGTACAAGCAGGTTGCCCCAATGTCAACAGTCCCAGTTACCTGTAAAATGATGCTTCTTGGACACTAAAGTTTGAGGAATGTGTGAAGTGGGACGATCCGTCCTTTTTTGCGGTTCGAGGTTATCGCCAGACATTAAATTTGGCTAACGTGAAAAAAAGGGGAAAATTTACGTAACAGCATAAAATGAAGTTGAAAGAGTTGGAAGTAACGTAAAATTTTATTTATGATTATAAATTGAGGACGTGAGACCGTTTTACAATACAATATATAAATAAACTCACATACGATAACCACTTTAAAGTTAAAGAACATTAAATTAAGATATTATGAAGATGTCATTTAAGTTATAATAAAGAAATGAACTACATAAGGTAAATGAAGTCCACAATTTGCCATTAACTATAAAAATTGAGTAAAAGGGGGGTTTTTCGGCCACAGGTTTGTACGACTTTACGTTGTTTTTGTTAAAAGGACAAAACAAAAAGTTTACTTCATATTAATAATTAGATTTAGGCTGTAAGACATATACACTTATAGGTCGAGAATGGGCCTCCAGACAAACTAGACCGTGGCCTACTGCCGATGGTAGCAACGTCTGTAAATTCCCAGGGATTCAGGTTCCATCCCCTAGGTCCTGTACGCCCTCTATGGACGACAAGGGCGCGACTGTGGAGGGGGTACTTGCGTGGTGGCCTTCCGAAACCTCAATTGTTACAGCAAGCGAGTAGCGAAGAAGACCCGCGGCACGCCCCAATCTAACTCCACTACGAGAGGCCGAGGGTCACATTTTAGGTGCTGAGCAACGCCGCAGTCCACAACGTGTGCAGTCTACACCTTACTATCTCCAATGTCAGGAGCTCTTTCGGTCGTCGAGAGGGACCAGCTGCGAGTCACGGAAGACATTAGCTACGGTGAAAGGAGCACCGAGGCTAGAGGAAAGCGTGAGTGACTACGCCTGGAGCAGGTACGAACGTACCTAAACTAGGTTCCGCCTAGAACAGCCGGTCACAGGGACTGAGTCCGGGAAGGTCGTCTCCGATCGCCAAATTTGGGGCCGATCGTCGGAATCATTATCGGCCGATCCGATCGAGTGGGCGGGGCCTATGGGGATCTTCCATTTAAAGTGATGTTTAAAACTCAGATAATGGGGCTCATTCACTGGCGCTTCCACAAACAACAACCAACATCATTATTACATTCAAATGAAGTACATTATTCAAGTTTACATTAACTTTGGAGAATAACACGGGGGAAATAACGGGAGCCTCTCTCTCTCTCCCTCCTGACAGCCTGTCAGTATCGTCTCATGCAGCTCACCGATCCAGTAATGAGTGACCCGACAGTGAAGAATAAATATATTTATAACTAGTGTAGCTTGTTCCAGAGGTAGATAAAATAGCTAAGTGTGTTAGGTTTAACTCTTGTGTGTGTTTTGCTCCGCTCACCGGTCCGTCACAGAGGGCGGAGCTGCAGGATTTCTGCTTCACACACGTTGCATACCGCTATTTTACTGTCTTTTTCGGACACCTTAAAATGCTGCCAGACTGGTGAAGCCATTTTGGCGAGCTTAGAGAAAAGTGTCATGTATTTTACGTCATGTGATCGGCTCTCACGATCGGCCTTTATAGAGAGCACCGATCGATCGGCAGAGAGTGAATATCGGCCGATCAATCGGAGCATCCCTACCGAAAAGCTAAATATGTGAAAATGACTGAATGAAGTATTGTGTCCAGGCCTACAAGCGATAATCAAAAGACTTAATTGTTAAACCCTTGTTTGGTACAGATCCTCTTTAAAAAGTGACACCATGATCAGTGAACATATAACAATGGTTCAAAAATGATCTCTCTCTG